GTCATCCCCTCCACTTCCAATTTTACCCCCTCTCCTCCAAAACAATGACGGCATTACCCCCCTCCACTGTAACTTGATACCCCCTCTTCCCCTTTTCCCCCGCACCACCCTCATTGCTCCTGAGTTAGAACCAGCATAGCTATACTACTCGAAGTATGTTAATTTCATAATATTTCTTATCAATTTAAGTTTGTCTAATAATTTGTAATAATACGCCGCAAGCTAACAACATATGCTTTTATGTATTTTTATAGGAACTTTATGACGGTGTATTTCTGATGTGCTACAATTTATTATTAACATCGCTTCCAATATTGTTATACGGATTATTGGAACAGGATTACAACGCGACAAAACTTATGCGATATCCATATTTATATAAGCTGAATAAAAACAATTATTTAATGTCGAAAAAACAACTTATAGCGTGGATGTTACTAGGTCTGTGCATACAACGAGTTCGACATTTTTCGACTAACAATTATAAAAATTATTTGTATTAAATAAATAACCAATTAATAGTGGAATTAGAATTTGCAAGCCAAGCTTTTACAAAATTAATACAACGTACTGATAAAATATACCCAAATAAATACTAACTTTGCCATTATTGTTTTTAGGACTATGGCATACAGGGATAATATATTATGTAGTATGTACTATAACATATATAAATCCTACGTATTTGTATGACAATACGCCGGTTGGACATTGGACTTTTAGTACACTTCTTTTTCACATAGTTACTTTGATAGCAAATCTGCAGGTATGTATCAATATCGTATTGCGTAGATTAAGGTTGTAAATAAATTTTATATTGTACTGACGATTATAAAACTTGATATGTTTTAAGTCAAAACTATTTAATTGCAATAATATGTAACTTTTGGTCAATTTCGTATTTTATGATAGACAGAAATTTAATAGAAAAATAAAAGAAATAGCTTTATTACATTCACAATGCTGTTGTGCAGAAATATATATATTTAATTTGCACAGTATGAAAAAAGTGAATCTTATAATTAATTACAGGTGATAATTTCTAACTGATAGTGAATAGATTACAAGGCCTTTGAGTCCTATTTGCAAACTTCGCACTCATGTTCTTAACAACACCTTGCAAATCCCGAGTTCTATTTTAAATACTTCAATAATTTATTAATAAATTATTTTAAACATTTTAATAATTAAATATTTCGGGGATTCAAATATTTTGGAAAAAAAATCTTTTCAGAAAAATTCTATATTCAGATTTATTAGAATTAGATATTCGTGCACTTTCATTATTTTAAATCAAGTCATACATACGAAAGATATTTTAATAATCTTATTCATTAATAGATATAAATTTGTTTTTATTTATTCATTGATGAATAAAAAATATCGTTCCAGATATTGTTGCGTAGTTCATATTGGACAATCCCACTTGTTTTAAGCGTGATATTGTCAGAATTGGTATTTATCTTAGGTACACTCGGCTATTCATTTATAAATGTGTAAGTACAAATTCCATGATATCAAAATTATTGTAATAATTAGTTTACGACATATTTATAAATAAAAATAATTTTTAATTGTAAAATTTTACTTTATGCGTTTACGTCTTTTCAGGAGATACGATGGCGACATGCTTGGGATTTTTCAAACATTATTGATGTCGCCCTCATTCTGGTTAATTACTGTAATCGTCGTCGTTATTTGTTTAATACCCGATTATTTGTTACTGACGTATAACACTTACAGACCACTAAAAGTTCTTCGAAGAAATGAAGAACCTCCGCAAATTATTGATTGTAGCGATGACGGTAGCGAACGCAGTTCTTCGCAAATGGTAGGTAATGATAAATTAAGTTCAGTTTTTTTTAATATTAACACATTATTCTTAAAAATCGATTAAATTTCACCATTCTATTTATCTTATTTTTAAAAAATAAGCTAAACAATGTTTACAATAGCATTGCAACGTTGTTAAAAAAATAAATTGCTATTAGGGACACCGACTGTTTTCATGGCGAGGTAATCTTTCATTAAGAAGAGGCAAATAAATACGTCAGAGGATCAACCTTCGAACGCTGACGTATTATTTACATGAAAGAAGTTTAATTCAATTAAATATATATATTTCTGCACAATAACGTTTACAGCCCACCGCAAAGTGCTAGTCGTTAAAACTAATTTTTGTACAAAGTAATGGATTACAAAGCATAATCTGTGATCTAAGAAATAATGTCTTGATAAATTATATATTTTTACCGAATATATAGAATATGTACAAATAATTCCTAATATGTTAATATTATGTATAAATATATAAAAAAACTTGTATAAGATACAGCAAATATATGTTAAACCTGCCTTATAATAGTATGTATGAGTGTGTATATGTAAATCTTCCATTTGCACAGTGTCTATCTTTATTTGAAAAATATCTGTTAATGAACAAATATCTGTAAATAAGCATAATGTTAATTAACTACTACTCATAATTTTTATAAATACTGATATCAATAAAATAATATCTGGTTTTAAAATATTATCTATTGATTTCATTGAGATTGAGTATATATTAACCTAATCTAATCCCAAATCCTAATTTAAACATTCCTTGGATTGGTCATCTATCCATAATTTTTATAAATATTGATACCAATAAAATAATATCTGGTTTTAAAATAGTATCTATTGATTTCATTGAGATTGAGCATATATTAACCTAATTTAATCCCAAATCCTAATTTAAATATTCCTTAAATTGGTTATGCCGTTCCAATAGATATTGGATATTCGAAAAGTTCGTAACAAAGATTAAAACCGAGTGATGTCTAAAGATTTCCGAAAACACAACAACAGTGCATACATTACTGAATAACGATGACTTCAAACGTATAAAAATTATTTTTTGTTTTATCATAAAAATTAGTACGAATTTTCCAGACAACAATTCAATATTTTCTGAAGACTAGACATTTTTTGCTTTTTCGATACACGTCTCTGCGACTATTTATTTAATTTTCTTTCTTTTTTCTTGTTTGATACTGCTCGAAATTAAAACATATTATACAATAATATTTGTAATATTTTGTTTTTAGTCCTTCAAGAGTAATCCATATATGTATTAAGCAAAAGCCATTTTTGCGGCTGATGGACTTATATATACATTTGGCAAACATTTTTAGCTTACATTCTCGGAAAAAACGATCACTGTTGCAATGGATACATACATCAAAATTACCTGATGTCCTTGCAATGCCATATTCTTGAGCACATTTTGAGACGATTTTTCCTTTTACAAAATTTTGTCCGAAGCTTAGTTTTCGAGTTATAATTGAAAATAGATAGCAACTTACGAGTTCGGTACAACGGGCAGGCAGGGACGCGCAACGTATAATGAGACTATCATGTGTTTACTATCGTCTCATGACGCATTGCACCGTCCCTGCCTGTCCGTTGTATCGGACTCGTAAGTAGCAAACTATTTTCAATTAGAACTCGAAAACTAAGCTTCGGACAAAATTTTGTAAAAGGAAAAATCGTCTCAGAATTCGCTCAAGAATATGGCATTGCAAGGACATCAAGTTATTTTGAATTACCCTGTATATACATGGACTGAGAATTGTTATATCAACCGTAAAAGCTGGATTTTATTTTATATATAAAATCAAATTTTTATTTTTATTTAATTTAAAATTTTTTAATTTTAATTTAATTTTTTTTACTTTTCTTGCTCTCTATGTGTGTTTAAAAATGACAGTTTCAACAGCTTCTTATGAAACACCCTGTACAATAGGCGATATACGAAACAGGTTCTAGGTACAGCAGCGATACACATGTATCGCAACTGCTACCTATACATATCGCAGCCCGAGCTACACAATATGCGTAGTTTCGGACGATCCATATGTAAATTAAAGACAAATATAAAATAGAAGAACCGAAAGAAAATAAGATATGTATCAGTTAAAAAATATTATTTTCTATAACAAATATATTTAAAACATTGCTTAATTAAACTTTTATAAAAAAAAACTAATACTTTACATAAAAAAGAAATAAATGTTTCTAGTACATATAATATCGAGCCTTCCATGCAGTAATGCATATAGATTGTATGCGACAGTACTGTATCGTTTGTTAATATGTAACATAAAACGCGACCGCGAACTTAAAAGCAATAAAGGGTGCGTTCAGGAAGACGCTATTAGCGCTATTTGCGTCATTCTATCTTTATCGCTCATTAGACATAAAACAGGGATAGAATGACACAATAGCGCTGATAGCGTGCTCCTCAAACGCACCCTAAATTAATACATTAATAATTATAATAGATATAATAGAAACTTATTTGTCTACATTGAGATATTAAAATACACCGATCTCAGATTGAGATCCTTCGAGTGTACGAAAATTAAGTACATTATCTCACAACAAAGAATCAGAATGTACGAATTAAATATGAAATTATTAAAGAAAAGAGGGAAAATGAGAGAAAAAATATCAGGGCGCAAGTGGCTAACCTTTCTCTTGTATGTTTTAAATATTTTTCTATTTTTGAAAAATTGATTTTAAATGTGTGTGTGTGTGTATAACTTCACAGTCATCAGTCGATGATATCTCACTTTTGACATTTCGTCGCATGCATTATCGAGGAATTTTTTGCAAACAAGATAAAAAAGACTCGTACAACACAAATGAATTAGTATGCAGACAAATAAAGCGTTACGTTAAGCAATCAAATTTCTCTGTTATATTTGAAAAGTATATATTTTTGCTTGCATAATTAATTGTATGATTCAATTCGCTTCACACTCGTAAAGAATAAAAAAAAAATTGGCAAACCATGTGTCGAGGACCATATATATTAAGTCTGTTCTTTATTTCTCATTTTCTCACCACATTCTTTTAATCCCTTTCGCTTGCCATTCGCAGGTAGTCACAGAACAGACCCTTCGTGAATAGGAGTGTACGTGTGTATACGTGTGTATATGTGTACGTGTATGCATGCGCATATATGATGCGTGTGGAATGCTGTGTGTGCAGTATGGTCAAACGGACGTTCGCAAAGTGTTGGAACGAAATGACTTCGGTCTTGAATGAAAAGAAGTGGGAAGAAATATCATATTTATTGGAAGAATCGAACGTACCGGCACGAGATGATGGTGACGCGGAAAACCCGATCGTCGTGACGTGCCGCGGGATCTTCTAGAGATTCGCAATTACTCCAATTGCTCCATATAACGAGCTAATCGAAACACGCTTTCCCAATATTTTATCTCGTGACGCTACATCGGAAAAATTTGTGGTTTGAATATCTCGTTAGGCGTGCATGTTTAATTGCTGAGTCATTTTCAATGGGAGTTTTATCGTGTAAACGTTAGTATCGTGATTACAAACGTATGATTCATTGTCGTGTTCCAAATTAAACGTTAATAATTAATGTTATTAATCATACTGCAGATTGAATATTTACAAGTTTCTACAAGTAATATGAATATATATTTCTTGCACATTCGTTATTTATAATCAGCGATAATGTAAAAGCAAAACTTTATTTTTGTTTTGTAACATGTAAAATCTTTGTATAAGATAACAAACGTGTACAATACCAGTTTAATTTTACTTGCTAATTTTATAACACTATTCTGCATTAAAGTCTTTCCCAATCGCTTGAAAAATTAGTATTTAGTCACTTAAATATTTATGCATTACATGCAAGTGACTTGTGATTTTTAATAAATTGCTGGATCACTTATTATGTTAAAATTCTAGTTGCTCTTCATTACACAACATTATCAATAGTATGAGTTTAATGTAAACACTGAAAAATTTCTTTTCGATGATATTAGACAGAAATGCGCAAGGTTGCATAAGGAATATGAAGTAATTTCACTTAACGAACTTTAATGAAATAACATCAAATATGACGAAAGTTAAACATATTCAAATATAACAAAATATAACAAAAAAATCAATTTTGAAATAAGATAACAGACACAAATAAAACATTATCTGCATTACTACTCAAACAGATAACTGATAGTCATAAATATAAGTGCTGTGCGCAATGATATAATTCCTTGTAACAAATTTCTAATTAGCATTGTTCGATGATTTTAAAGTATGCATTTGCAAGTTATGATATGTGACAAAATTGTGTGTACTCTAAAAAGAATGTTTAGCTCGAAAACATCAATAAGTAGCAATACATACATATTTTGTTTCAAATGATATTAAAGTGTATTTAATTAAAGAGATATGTATATATCATGTGTGAACTGCAACACTGATATAATCCATAAACAATTCAATAATTAAGATTATATTTCAGGTCTTAATGGGATAAGTGACATCAAAATTAAAAGCGGCAATCACCAGAAAGAAAATATTTTCAATATTTGCATCTGTGGTGCTTATAATGTATATATACAACGTGTTATCATGCATATTATAAGACAAAACTGATACACGTCTCATAAGAGTCAACAACAAGCAGTGCTTTCATGCAATTGACAGTACATGCCAGTTTAAATTAAAATCAACATCGTCTTTCTTCCTATGTGTTATTCTCCCTATACTAGAAATCGTACGTCTGAACATGTAAGAGAATATATTTTTAGCATGGAATAAGTTTATTAACTTGTCTAAGTAGTTTAGTAAGTGTGTTAATTCTTTACTGCATTATGTCGCTTTAAAAAGTAATAAAGCATATCAATACGATAAATCGTGCTTTATTAATGTGATATTAATTTCAGATGTTCATTTTTTAATTAAGATTAGCATATCATTTGTAAAAATAATATTAAATTATGTTCTCGAAATAAAATCAAATTTACATATTAAAGAATTCAATTAAATAAATCTCAACCAATGTTTAAACTCTCTTATAATATTTTATATTTTACAGAAATAATAAACTGAACAAAGATGAGGGTCACGGCTTGCCATTTCCGACGTTGCATAATAGCAGTATTATCTCTAGGACTATTGTTTTGCATTATTCAAGTAATAAGAACAGAATTGGGATTTAACGAACCGGACTTGTCAAATGTAGACAAATTGTGAGTAACCCTCTTACTTTAATGCTAAATTGATATATTTTATATTTTATAACTCTTATTGAATAATCTTTCAGAATGCATATATCACAATTAATCAAAGAGTCGGAAAAATCTTACGTGAGGTATGTATATAATAATTCGATTTCAAAAGAAACAAAGCACACAGTGTTATTTAAATTGCATAGAATACCCTTATTAATATTTTGTAACAAATATCTGTAGCATTTCACTGTTTATAATTGTCACTATTCATGTATTTTTTATTTGTTAATATGTCTGTGCAGAGAAGGCGCTGTTGCGTGCAGATTACCTCAGTTAAATATCTCTAGTCCAGAAATAATGAAGTTCATACATGACGTACCACCTTTATTCTGTGGATCTGAAGATTGGGTTGCAGTGGAAGGTTCAAAACTTGTTATTACTAATAAAGCAAAGACGAAGCACGGAGAAATAACATGTATCTTTAGTGGTAAGTTAACAAAATATTCTCTATGCATTTGTGAAAATAAAATACTATGAAAATGAAAATACTATTTTAATCAGTTAATATTGAATTGTTACAACTACTATATAAAATATTACTCTATTTAATGATTCATTACTGTCTCTTTTCAGAAATTGTTAGAATAGACGATTACAATACAAAATTATTAGACGGCATAGAAGCGGATGATTTTTACACTTTGAGGGACAGCGACTTTGCAGATGTGAAATGCAAGTCAAAAAGTGGAAATACGTTAGTTAATTTGCTTATGCGTTACTTTTATAAACGTCCCCAGTATGTTATTTCGCTAATGATGGATATTTTTAGGTGGCACAGTTTACTTGCCGGAGTGAAACACGATCCGTACGCCAATCAGCGGCACAATTGGAACAATGTGCCGAACACAGGCCTCAAATTAAATGTGCTTATGCTCGGCTTTGACTCTTTATCACGAAATACGTTTATTCGTAAATTGCCCAAAACTTATCGTTTCATAAAACAGCAACTGAATGCTTTAGTTCTGGAAGGATACAATATCGTAGGGGATGGCACTCCGCAAGCGCTTATCCCAATTCTAACCGGCAAGATCGAACTTGAATTACCAGAAACGCGGAAACGAATGGGTCATAAAGCTAATTATGTCAACGTATATCCAATGATATGGAAGAAATACAAAGAACACGATTATATAACAGGTTTTATGGAAGATGTGCCGCATATCGGGACCTTCACGTATCGCTTAAAAGGATTCGACGAGCAACCGACTCATCATTATATGCGCACTTATTATCTTGCTGCGTCTTCGTATTTCGGAACGTACAACAAATTTTGCATAGCTGGTGTCCCACGTCATATGGTATGTATTAGAAATTATGTGAATTTATTAATGAGATAAAATAAGAAAATGACGTCAAAATCAATCAAAAATGATATTTTGATATGAAAATAACATTTAGCTATATCTGAGGTATTATATTATGAATGAAAGTAGTATATGATATTATAAAAATGATATTGACGATGTTATTTCAAAATTGGGAATTTTGTTAAGTTGCAACACAATTTACAAATTCAAAGTTATGCTAATTTCTCTCCGACTTACATGTTCACAGTGACTCTTTATACAATGTGTATTTAATTATTGCATTGTGTATAGGTGATGATGAATTATATAAAAACGATATTCAATACATATAAGGAACAGCCAAAGTTCGTATTTGGATTTCATGGAGAACTTTCCCATGATTCCTACAATGATATCGGAGTGGTAGATGACGATTTATATTCTTGGGTGAAAGATCTTCATGATTTTGGACATTTAAACAATACTGTTTTAATTTTGATGAGTGATCACGGACACAGGTTCGAATGTCTTATATGTAAATACTGATATTTTGTATTTTACCGATTAAATATTAATTATATTATTTTTATTTTATAGATTTGCGGACATTCGCAATACTTTGCAAGGTAAGCAAGAGGAAAGATTGCCGTTTTTCTCTTTTACTTTTCCACCCTGGTTCAAACAAGCCCATCCACAAGCATATGCAAATTTTGTATATAACACACAATACTTGACATCACCATTCGATGTACATAAGACACTGGAAAACATACTTAATTTTGGCACACCAAAGGATGGAGAACGTCATCAAAGAGCTATCAGTTTATTTGATAAGGTCAGTTCACTATGTGTATTAATTATAATTGCATGTGTGTACATTTGATAAATTTAAAAGTAAAAATAAAATAAAACATTTTGTAATTTATTATTTACATCAACATATAATTAATTTTTGTTACATCTAATTTAAAGCAAAATGTTAACATCTTTTTCTAAAATTATAATATAATGTTATATATTTATATTACATTAATTGTGTGTGCGCGCGTGTGTGTGTGTAAAATAAACGTAATATAAATATATAACTATCAAATAATGTAATAGAAAGGCATTGTAGAGCGTCGCGGGTGTGTGCGAATTTAATTTTTACTTTTAAAACTTAAATTTAATTATTCTTACTATGAGACAGTTAATTTGTACACCGATCTCAGATCGAGATACTTAAAGTATACGAAATTAGACTAATAAATTAATTTCTTTAAGAAAAATTAAAAATTTCGCACTAACATCTCGCGACGGTTCTCAATGCCTTTCTATTATATTATTTGATAGTTGTCAAAAATGAGCCTTTCCATTATACATGTTATTTGTGTTATAAATATATAACGTTATATTATAATTTTAGAGAAAAGATATTAACATTTTGCTTTAAATTAGATGCAACAAAAATTAATTACTGATGTAAATAATAAATTACAAAACATTTTATATATATATATATATCTTCACAAAGCAAATAGAAAAACTAATGATTAACAAGCAAATTTGGATAAAAATGGCATTTTCTATAATATAAAAATCTGATATTATAAAAATATTGAAAATGCAAAAAAAGCGATTCTCATTTATTAATAATTTCTACATTTATATATACTTTTTATATTTATTGCGTAATACGTAATACGTCAAAGAATTGAAATGTTCTTTTACAAAACCACAAACATCTCAAGTAATATATAATACTTGCAATGTTTGTGGTCTTGTAAAAGAACATTTCATTCGTTTAACGTAATGACGTAAAAATAATTTATCTGTATATGGTTTTTTTTGTATATTTGCAATTAATCATAAGTTTTTAAGCGTGATATATTATAAATTCTGTGCGTATGTGTATATAAGCACACCCTAAAAAGAACGTCTAAAAGACATCTCGAAGATATCTCTCGTATACATATTTTGCTGATAATATACATACTTTACAGATAAGATCAGATCTAATCGTGAGTTTTGCAAGTTTATCTACAATATAAAATAGGAAGATATAAAGCAATATGACACGATACGCTAGTTTTATAATTCCTCTAAAGACTCTAAGCATGTTAAAAACGTACACTAAAATATTAAAATATTAAATCATAAAATGTATTATTTGAATATCTTTTATGAATTTAACGATACAAAAATTCGTAAACCACAACATGGCAAAATAAATTTGGATTTTACACGGTAGCGATTATTCGTTGTATATCCATCTTTTTGTGTAGAAAATTCGAGTTTTGCATATCCATGAAAATATAACAAAACTGCGATTTCTCTTTTTGCAAAGCATTGTGACGTAACGAATGAGTCACACTAATTGTACATAATTATTATATAAAATACACATAGTTACCGTAAATATATTTACATATGCACCACACATAAATTCAATCACTAAGTTTTGTATCAAACAATTTTAAAAAATGTCATCAAGAACTTCATATAACAAAAAAAAAACAAAAAAACAAAAAAATAAATTAGCCGAGAAACAAGAGAATGTATGCTACTTGTTGCTCAGCGCGAGCTCTGAGTAATACTAATGTAATGTCGAATGAAATGTTGCAAATGAATGAAACATCATATTATCGGATATCTCCCACTCCTTTGCGGTCGGAGCACGCAGAGCTCTTACTATTCGACCTAATTCTCTAAAGACGTTTTCTCGTTGCTTTACTAAAGCGTTCTTTTCAAAAACTGCAAATAAATAAAAATAAATAATTTTTTATTTAACATATTTGATGGCAATAATGTAAAATCACTATTTATTGACTTTTAACTTTTATACGATTAAATATGTGAAAACAAATGTTAGTAATTAAATTAATACGATATTTTAGGTGCCTCTAGACAGAACATGTGCGGATGCTTTCATAGAGCCTCATTGGTGTGCTTGTCTCGGATGGAAAGAAATTTCAATTGACAATGCAAACGTTGTTGCTGCTGCCCACTATTTTGTTCAATTCCTTAATGATTATACCGTCGATCATCGTGACATATGTGCGACTTTACAATTGGATGAGATTTTATGGGCCGCTAAGCTCATACCTACTAAAGGTATAACACGCGAGACAGTATGTAATCATCATTCGCAAAGAAAATTACATGTTTTATAATATTTCAGGTTTGCTGGATTTCCAGAAATCCGGGGATCAAGACGGTTTCATAGGTGATTTCAGTGCCAAAACCAAAGTGACGGCGGACATTTATCAATTAAAAATGAGAACGATGCCGGGTAATGCACTATTTGAAGTTAGCATTTCTCATGATCTTGGAAAAAATATTTTTCGCACTAAGGTGAATCCAGATGAATTCAATTAACACTCAGAAATACAAATATTTTATGGCAAATAACATATAATTACTTTGTTATAGATTTCCGATGTTAGCAGGATTAACATGTATGGATCTCAAGCGAGATGCGTGGAAAATTCACTATTTCATTTGCGTAAATACTGTTATTGTAAAGGATAGGTAATATTTACGTAGCATAATTTTAAACGTTGTATAGATAGAAATGACACGCATCAAAATATCAATCAAAGGAAGATTAGTTTTAATTAAACCGCGATAATTATTATTTAATTTAAATAAAACTACTGTGATGCATCTCGTTCATTTTCTAAAATCACGTGTATTAGTCTGATTTTACCTTTATTTCCAATTATTTACGTATTGATGAACGTAAATATTAGTGCCACGATATCATATTTCACATATCATTCTTAAAAGAATCTTCATTATGTCTAATAATAATAATTATATCAATAGTTATGTTTTAATTTATGATACAAAGTATTGTGCATGTGTGATATCTATATGTTATAAAGATTTCCTATTTAAATGTATAATTGCACATACATTTGCAAACTCTATTAGAAATTAATATTGTGCCAATACATATTAAAAATAATTTAAGTCACAGTTTTAATTTTTTCATAATATGTTATAAGAAATTTGATGAATTATTCATCACATTTACCAATTTTACGTTCTTAATTGACGAGTAGTAAAACTAATTGTCTAAACAATACCAATAATGTTAAGAAGGAAGATTCTATTTATATATTTGTAAAAAAGAAACTCATAATGTTCAAGCAAGATATAATGATAGGCGTTCCGGATTATTAGATAATAAATATTTGTATTATAAAAATACAAACTTATATGCGTTTACTAGTCACATATTCAAGAAAACAACGGGCTAACTCTTATCATGGCATTCAAAGAAATTATACAAAAATTTTCATATATAAAAACAAAAAACTTTAAAAATAAATATTTTAAATACAACGTCCGTATACTTTTGTGATTCACTATATCTACACTTGATACATCTTTAAATAAAACTAATTGCTACGATCTTTATAAAAATCACAAGTGAATACATATATGTATATTTACATGTATATTTATATCTTTATATACTTCTTGATAAAAAATCATGTAATTATATACATGTGTAATTTCTATGAATGTCGTGAAGATATATTTTGCAACAAGTTACTTATATGAGCGAAGGATAAGCAATAATAAAATGAGCAGTAATATTCTGCGCAAAGAAAGATTTTTAATATAAAGGGCTTTTTTTAAATTTTGTTGAAAATAAATAATGTCAGCACAATATTAAGAAATAAAGGATAAATTAAATCCTACCAAAACAAGAGTCCAATTTTATTTAATAAATGAAAAGCTAATGTGTAGTTTATATATATGTATAAATTATAAAATATACAAAGCATTATTGCATTCTAATCGAATAATTCTATGCACAATGAAATAATTATATTTAATTACACGGATAAAACGTACATAATTGAGTTTAATTTAGTTTAATTCAGCTCAATTAAATAAATTATCTTGTACAATCTTGAAATACAGAATATCTTGAATGTTGTGATAAATTATTTTATATAAATTATTATGTATATAAGATTTAAGTATATTTTACGAATAAGAAGACTATATCTAATTATAATTATGAAGATATAGTACATGAAATGTACTAATTGAAAAATATAATATTTCTAAACGAATGAAATATGTTCTCCATATGTAGAAGTAGTATAATGAAATTTTTAATCTGTGGAACAATATCCTCCATATTGATGCACAAAAGTCGTGATTTCGCGAGAATTAGCATCTACTAGTAAAAATGCAATATTTTGCCTATTGGGGTTGAATGGAAAATAATTCTGACCTTTGCTATCTTTAGCAATTACTTCCAATACCAGAGTACTGACGAACAAATCATTCGAGTTATTTTGTTTTTGCACCCTAGAAGAAATATGCAACGTTAAATTTCTCATTAATTTTATAAATTTTGTTAAAGTATTTTGAGAAGTATTATTATTAACCTTATGAGATCTTTATAAATATTTTTCGTAATATCTAGATATGGCTGTAACATATCCTCAAATTGACATAATATTCCGCCAAGAACGAGCATTTGAAAAATTCGAAATACAAATTCCTTTCTTTCGTCTTCCGAATACAAATTATATTCTTCCGACTCCTCATCTAAAAGCATCTAAAAATAGTGAAAAGTTAGAAATAACATATTGAAAAACAATTCTGTTAAACAATTTGATATTACAAAGATTTAATGTATTTCCAATGAAAATATCTTACACCGCGCAAGTTGTCAGATACCAGAAAGTCTTCCACTTGTATATCATATCTTTTACAGATTGTTCCTGAATTATATGTTATTCCATTATCTGGATCCTTTAATTTATTAAAAAACGACATACTTAAAACGGAACACGGTATTTGCTTTACCTCCACACTCGAAGCTCTTATACCTAACAGCAGACATATCTTTTTATTTCGCTAAATTTATTCATTGTAATGAATAACTATAACAAGTTTTGTAAAATTATAAATGTTACCTTGTCTTAACCAGATGTTACCCTGTTTAGACAGTAGTGTTTTTGCGACAATATCATCTTTAAAAAATGCCTATAAATTTATGAATTTTAATAAAGATTATAAATCATGTGTTAGCAAAATGGAAATATTGAAAAAATAAATAAAACTAAATCTTTTAAGTAAAACAAAAAAAAATTAATGTAATTTTTGTTTCTGCTTTGATAATAGATCAATTTAAAAAATCAATTAAAGCCTAATATTTTCGAATTTGCTAAAATACTTGAAATCAATGCGCAAATTCTATAAAATCGTATATAATTTAGTTGTTTTCATTATTGAAATCACTCTTACATCAGCCAGCTGATATTTGTGATATTGTTGAAATGGTTCGTTGAATGAAAAACTCTGAATAACAAAGTTCTCTTTTAAACCCCTATAAAAAAATAATATTTTCAACTTATTTAAAAATAATTATCATTAAGTACTTACTGAAAGTATCGAATTAGAATGCTCGGTGACTAGTGAATTAAATATACTTAAATATTGTATTACTGTAATTAATATTAACATTACCATTTACAAAGATATTCTTGCGTATTTTTGTCATTTATTCCCACGTAAGTTTTTTCATTCAATGGTACGAACGTGAATTTCGGATCAATGTCCATCTTGATAACAAAAGTCTCTATGGAAACAACAAGCACGTACACGTGTATTTAATGCTACATATTTCATCTAAAGTGCAGAAACAACATAAAACTATTTTTTTTATTATATTGTTGATATAATAATGTTGTTAATATATTTTATTGATAATATGACACGTCCTAAATCCTGTCATTTTTCTAACAGTTTTGATATCTAAAATTATTTGCATATCTTTCTTTTTTTAAATATAAATATTTTTGCATTTTTATGTATTATTACAAATATGTTACTCAGAACATACAAATACTTTTATGAGGTTTTAATTACCGTCGGTTTCGATTATCGTCAGTATTGATTTTTAACATTGATAAATATATATAGATAATAATGTGACCCAAGTAGATAATAGATGATAATAGATAGTTCCACGAGAAGATCATGGCGCCTAATCAACGTCAACGACAGCTCGTTTTATCGAAGAAAGAATTGAAAAAGATCAATGGAAGAAGATTCTCAAAGTATATAAAACATTTTCTTTATTTTTTCACTTCTTTTAGATGATTCAATAAACATTTCCAATGTGGAAAACGTTCATCAACCTATGTTAGCTAACCTCTCCTGTCATGACATATTGAAACACTCAAGAATAACAACAAATATTACACATGCCTATAAAACCCTATATTTATTTATATATTTTATATTCATTTTTAACATTTAATTATGCGTTATATTTTTATATTAATATTTAATTTCTATAACTCAGAACATATAAAATATGTGAATTTCAAAGAAATTGTAAAGGGAATTCTATGCTGCACATTTATTTAGTTTTAACCTTATTTGCTTTTGCTTAGTTTTACATTCTGTATTTAAATAAAAATTATAAATAATAATATCATGTCACTAAGAAATTGTTATGTTTTTAATCATTACTTTTTCTTAACAATTATAATTTTATAATTTATACAGAACTATACAGATTCTGCTTTGAGAAATGTACTATAAACAATATTAATTAAAATATAAGGTAAGAATTAAAGTGAAAAATTAAGTAAGTGTGTTTTAGGCCAGAAGAATCTTCTGATATGGGACTCATTTATCCTAGTTATGATACAGCTTTCAAATTGCTGTTATCAGCAAGATTTTGTTCTGCTATATGGAGTCACATAACAGATTGTGATGAAACATATAATTATTGGGAACCGGTGAGTTTATAATAAAATTCAATCAATCTTACATATACTATTTTAAAACTATTATACTTTCTTTTAACTACTTTTGACTATTCTTTATTAGATTTAATAAAAATGTGGAAAGTAAAATTGTTTCTTTCTTAAAGACAGACGTATTGTGAAAGAATATTTATGTAAGTGCAGTAGTAGTTTAATCTATATATATTTTTCTTGATTTTGGTGGATACAGTAATTTTTTTGCAATAAATTTTACTGCATCTGTATTATTTTCTGAATTGTCTTAGAGTCATTACCTGCTCTATGGAACAGGCCAACAAACATGGGAATATAGTCCTGAATATGCGTTACGTTCATATATGTACCTGTTAATCCACATGGTACCAGCAAAGGTTTATCATTACTTATTGGAACCAAATCCCATGCTAGTTTTCTACTTTATACGATGCTTGCTGTCTGTAGGCTGTGCATTGTCTGAAGTATACTTTTACAAGTATGTTTTGTCTTTTATAAAACTAGACAACATACATATAGTAAAAATTGATGCAAATTTTTGTTTTCTTTTATAACATGTGATTTTATATTTTTCAGAAGTATCTGTCGTGAATTTGGGATCCATGTAGCGAGACTTACATTAGTATTTCTTATTCTCAGCTCTGGGATGTATATTTCTAGTGCTGCATTTTTACCATCATCTTTTTCAATGTAAATGTAATTCTAAAACAAGAAAAAGATTTTAATCTTAATACATAATTTATCTATGTTTTAAATTAATGTTTGTCACAGGTATCTAAGTACTGTTGCTACAGCAGCTTGGTACGCTCGCCAATATGAATTGGCTATTTTTGCTACTGCAATTTCTTCGTTACTTGGATGGCCATTTGCTGCATTACTTGGGTATGTTGTACGTTTTAGCTAAATGAATACTACATACTGCAATATTTTACACAATACCCGAAGTAATATTTATTTTTCTTTGTTTTATTTTTAGACTTCCCATTGCTGTTGAAATGTTATTACACAGAAAAGAATGGAGCAAATTTATAAAATGGGTTCTTATATCTGCTGTGGTAATTGCAATACCAATGGTATGGGTAGATTCTGTGTATTTTGGCAAAATCGTCGTCGCACCATTAAACATCATATTATACAACGTTTTTACCAGCCATGGACCTAATCTTTACGGCACTGAACCGTTTAGTTATTATATCTTCAATGGATTCTTGAATTTCAACTTTGTCTTTATTGGTGCATTACTCGCACCATTGGGATTAGTAAGAATTTTGATACTTTATATTGCAAAATTTCTAAGAAGTCATACACTTTCTATAAATTATAGATTCTTCAACAAATTTTGAATAATTCTTTCTTACAATTTGCAAGTCTTAATTCTTGGCAAATAACGATATCAAATCGATTAATGTTATAAATCTCGTCTTTGATATACATTTATGAAAAAGAAAGTGTGCGACAGTTGTAATATCTTGCATAAAACATTTTGGCAGTATTTTAATTACAGTTATAGTTTTTAGCATGGCTGATTGTGCCGGCGCGTCCGAGGGATCGTTTATGTCTTCCCTATTGGTATTCATTAGCTCCTTTATATTTATGGATTCTCGTATTTTTCTTTCAACCACATAAGGTATGTATAAAAAATGATGTTGATAATATTATTAAAAAAATAGCATATTTGAACATTGTATTACTACACCTTTGAGAAATGCAAATAATGCTGAAAACTTTATGTGCGCAATTTCTAGATTGTTCAAATGTGCTTTATTTTATTTTAGTATTAGAAATTTATCCATAATATATATATATGAATTTGACGTATATAAAAGCAAACAGAGAGATTGATAAAATGAATATGTCAACAGGAGGAACGGTTCTTGTTTCCTGTATATCCTATGATTTGTTTGGCAGGAGCTATAGCGATGGATATTGTACAGAAGTTATACTTTTATGTTACAATGAAATTCAATCCATCGCATATCGGTTGCCACTACCTACAGTATACTACATACATCACCGTTGGGGCGATACTAGTATGCAGTCTCTTCGGACTATCAAGATCATTAGCGATATATAAAGGTTTATATCTTACACTATTTTTGGAACATTATTTTTTGTTTAAATAATACAGTGTTCACAGTTTACAGAACTTAATCTATAATAGAATTTGCTTATTTATTTGCTTGAATTTATTTACTTGAATTTATTTGCTTACTGCAAATAGGATACTATGCTCCCATGGAAATCATGATTGAAGCTAATAAACTTGCAACAGAAGGCAAAATACCTAATGACGTTAACATAAATTTTTGTATTGGAAAAGAATGGCATCGCTTTCCCAGCAGCTTTTTCTTTCCATCCAATAAGTAAGTACACAAATTAGTTCTATATTATAAAAAAATATCGTTTGCTAATTTTTATATATTACAGTGTACCATAATTTTTTTACCTCAGCTCAATACAATATTACATTATTCTTATACGATATTAAACTATTTTTAGTTGGAAGTTACAATACTTGGCATCTGAATTTAAAGGACAGTTACCTCAACCTTTCTCAGATGATGAAAATGCAACAAGTATAATTCAAGCACATTTTAATGATATAAATAAAGAAGAACCGTCACGCTATGTTAGTATTTACATTATATAAGTAGCATAAAATGTTTATCATTACTAATTTTTATAAATATAAGTAATAAATAGTAATTAATTAATATAAGTAATAAATAGTAATTAATTAATCTCTTCTTTTTGTTTCAGTTTACTTTAGACAAGTGTCATTTTTTATTAGATCTAGATATAGAAACTGAAACAGCATTAGAACCGAATTATTCTCGCTTAAGTGGTCAATTTACTATTGTAAAAACTTCTAAATTTCTAGATGCATCGAGGTAAGTTTACAATGCTTTATGCGTATATTTAAAATATATTGATTGTAAATAGTAAGAATTACTTTTATAATATGAAATATTTTTTTAATACTTGTCTAATATAATCTATCATTATTTGTTACAGATCACATCCACTTTTCAGAGCCTTTTACATTCCATTTGTATCGCATAAGTTTTGTACATATGGCTCATATAACTTATTACAAAGCAATACATTTAAAACGATAGTTTCGCATTCAAAGCAAAAAAATTCCAAACTTTCTTAAGTAAAGAACGGGGTTTTGGATCAGTAAGATTATGCAATTCGGATGAAAAAAGTGATTTCTATTATTTTATAGAGTATATTTGTATAATATATATGTACATATATTATAGATAGTCAAATCAATTTAAGTTAAATATTTTAATTAAAAATTTTATTTAAAATTTGTGGAGAGTAAAAATTAGTGGACCATATTTAGTATTAACTTATTATTAATATAAATATATAGATAAATATATATATATGTATGATAAGTACCCGTGTTAGGGAAGAAAACGCATTTTAAAAAAAGTAAAAAGTAAAAAAAAATTTTTTTACTTATTTTTCGACATAGTCTCTTTTCAGCTCGATACACTTAATCCAGCGATATTCCAACATTTTTATACCATCCAAAAAATATGATTTGTCAAACTCTGCAAAATAGGCCTCTGTTTCGGCGATGATTTCCTCGTTTGACGAGAACCGCTTTCCGCCAAGCCATTTTTTCATGTTTGGAAATAAATAGAAATTGCAGGGAGCCAAATCTGGAGAATAGGGTGGATGAGACAGCAATTCGTAGCGTAATTCGACCAGTTTTGCAGTGGCGATTGCGGACGAATGAGCTGGTGCGTTGTCATGATGAAAGAGCACTTTTCTTCGCCAAATGAGGCCGTTTTCTTTACAATTCAGCGTCGAATCGGCCCAATAAATCGGCATAGTATTGCCCCGTGATTGTCCTTTCCTTCTCCAAATAGTCGGTGAAAATGATGCCTCGCGAATCTCAAAAAACGGTGGCCATGATCTTTCCGGCCGATGGAACCGTTTTTGCCTTCTTTGGAGCAGGTGAAATCCACTGTTTTGACTGTTCTTTCGTTTCTGGCATGTAGTGATGGATCCATGTTTCGTCAACAGTGACGAAACGCCGCAGAAACTCTTTCGGATTGCGCTTAAACACGTCCAAACAGTGCTTCGAAGTTGTCATGCGATTCCGTTTTTGTTCCACTATGAGCAAACGCGGCACCCATCTCGCCGATAGCTTTCTCATGCCCAATTTTTCGTGTAGGATATTTTGTACGCGTTCAATTGAGATGTTTACAATGTCAGCAATCTCTCTGATCTTCACCCGGCGGTCTGCACGATATCATGGATTTTGATGACCATATCCTTCGTAGTCACCTCGGACGACCTGGGCGCTCTTCATCAAAAACGGATGTTCGGCCACGCTTAAATTCATTGAACCAATATCTGATGGTAGTC